TCCAAGCATTGTTTGCTCCTTGTTTATGTTAGTTTTTTTACAAGTACCCTGTTAATCTACATTGTATTTTTGTTTATACTTAGAAATTAAAATTATTTAAAATGTATACTTACGATTTGAACGTGTTTGAGTGAAATGATTTCGATATATTAGTGTACGCCTAGGATAAGATTATTATTTGTTTGCAAGTATTTAAACTTTCTCATGTAAGTGAATTGTTGTAAATTCTTATGAGAAATAAAGATATCTCAAACCTCAAACCTCATATTTATTTTATATTAATATCTTATTTTATATTAAAGTCTTCGCGTATGCGCGATTCTACTATCTCCGCGCGAAGACAGAGTACCGCACAATTTTTGTTTGGAATAGGTTCTCTAGCACGTAGTACATATAATAGACTAGGAGATGATGACAGAAAATATTGTCACATTTTCTCCTGCATGCCTTTTTAAGAATTGATAACTAACCCTAAAATATGAAAGATAGAGGGGTTACGAGCCCTTGCGCACTTGCACGTCATAAAGGAAATGGCTTCTCTTTGTGTAAAGAATTTTAGTATTTTTCCGTGACATTATATTGCATGGAAACTTCTTGACAGAAAAACTCAATAACTGATTTATTTAGCCCAATCCGGGATTCTAACCCGGACCCCGTGATCAGCAGCCGCGTTCACCACCACTAAAGCAACAAGGAAGTCAAAGGTGTTCGCTGGCTATCGCATATATTTATCGCACCTTTGACGGTGCTTTCCGTCGGCGGTCTAAGTTGTTCAACACAGGCATATATACGAGATGATTTCACTGGCTTTTACCACAGCCTTTTTCGGCTATTACGACACCCACTGGACGAAATGTGGTGATGTATTCTTTTACGTCTAATGCTAATTTGTTGATAACCACGTTTAAGACATCTCAGTTCCTGTAGGTGGTAAGACAGGTGTCCACTTACTGTATTATTAAGGTAAAAGTTTTAAATCGCTAGTTTTGTTTTTAAAATGGAAGGATTTTCAAACGAGCTCGCAATTCAATTTAAGGTCGCTGCTTTCTGTCACCGTTTTGGATATTTTATAACTAAATTGTATAATGGTAGAGTCATGCTGCAGCTATATTATAGTTGTAGCTTGAATGGGTCGGCTCGACCGGGAAAGAACCACGATTTCATAGAATACCAGCGTAAAATAGATGCTCAATGCTGCGATTTGTATAATGAGTGCAGAGAATCGGATACCCTTTTTACTGGAAATGAGGCATTTAATCTTAGTCCTCGGGGGTGACAACGCACCTGCATTTTGATTCTTAATCGAATATAGATTTGGATGTCGATAGACCACATCATGGTAGTAGGTGGATTGTGTGTTCGCTTGTCAGCCTTTTTCTTTAGAAAAAAAAAATTCTAAAGAAAGAATTTTTTTACTAGATATTTAAACTGCCATCTATCGGAGGACGTAAAATATTTGCGGTATATAATGGGTTGATAGATTGTCTTAAACTGCCACTACAAGATTTTTTTTAAACTACATAACGAGTTTATTTCGGATTAGTGACTTTACATGATAATATTTAACTTCATTAAATAAGCTTGAACCCTTATTTGCGGCCTTTTTTTAATAGAAGACCCCACTCCATCATTCAGGGAAAACAATTAGCATTCATCTAGTTTTACTTAAATGTGTAGTGAACGCGTAAATATAAGAAATCCTTATAATTATTCAGTCTTATCCGTTTTTTAAACATGTGTAAATATGAACATTACATCAAAAATATGGACAATAATATTCTTAGATTTTGCAAGAACTTTCTGTACTTATTTTTTTATATTTGGTTACTATTATATTTAGATTTTAGTTGTTTGTCAAGCAGTATCTTTAATTTTTTCACACAACAGAATAATTAAATAATTATGACTGTTTCAATTACTTTCATTACTAAATGAATGTAGTTCCCTATCCAAAAGCATATTAACATTCAGGTAATAATATAACCATTACATATATACACCATAGAATAGAATAGAATATTCTTTTCAAACTTCTAAAATTAAAATTACAGTAACAAAAAATATTTTGCAGTTCGACTCTACTATCCTTGTCCAAGCGACGAGCCTCGGTCGTAAAATTTTATTGCTTTTTGCACGTAGTTTTGTCAATACAACTTTATGCAATGCATTTAAGGTTGAATTTACATTAATGTATATTTATATCAACTAGAATTACGTCAAAACATTTGGCGACAGTTTTTAGAGAACTTTTGTATGGAATTGTGCATCTAGTTTTTTATTAGTGATCGATGTTATAAACGTATAAACTGAACAGACAGACACCTGGCAACAGTTTACAGCTGGCAATCTGATGTTGCCGCCGAATTAAAATTGGCAACCGAAACTTTTCTTTATATTTATGTTTATTTGATATTTAAAAAATAACAAGTGAACTAAATAGTTTTAAAAAAAATATTAAATTAATTTTAATTAATAATACTTGCAACAAAATCAAATAGGCATCCCAGCACAAAACATATAGCTCTAAATTCCATTAAAAAAAAAACAGATGGATGTAGTAATCACGCGGTGGAGTCTCGGAATAATAATACACTTTGTGTTTAAATGGAGATACTCAGTTTCAATTAAAAATCGTGCAGTGGTTTGATCTTTACACAGAAATACGTAAATACCCGTTGCTAACCACCGTATTTTTACCAAGAAGCTGCTGCTGTTAATAGGTAGTAGCTGTCCAGAGATGATATGATATCTAAGATACAAGTATCTGAAATACAGATACAAGATACAAAATACGTATTTTCATCTTGTAACTATAAAACTTAAATTCATTTCGTATCTTGAATACCTTTTAAATACCTTTTGTTTGGTATCTTAGTATTTTGTAGATACTATGTTTGCTAAAATACTATATTAGTAATAGATAACAGATTCTATTGTGACATCTTAGGTGACATTAATTTTAAATGTCAATGCTGTCATAGATAAAACTAAACGCGCAATTGAATCCTTAGTCTAGGGCCAAATTGATAGATGGCGTGGCAATTCTTTCTTTCTACAAAATGTCATCGGCTATGCCCCTTGACTCGCGTAATTTTTAATTATACCGCATAATAGTCTGTGTTTGAGTGAGACACGTAAAAGTTTGGTCGGTCGGTCGGAGCGAGAGAAAAATCGGAGGTTTTAGACAATATTGAAGGTGATATAAAAAAAGTCAAAAGATAAATCTTATTACATGTTTTTAGAGGATTCTGATTCCTGTTGCAAGTGCCGAAAACACAGGATTTACTGTCAGCATCGTTGACTTAGAAACATTGCAATACATAAATAATAAAGATACCTACTTATAGAGTATAAATGCTTACCCTACAATAAAAAAATATTTTTCAAATACAACACCTGTTGGACAAGACTCCCAAGGTGGATCTACCCAGACTACTTGCACTGCCGTGTTCCAGTGTAAATGGTATAGACAGCCAGTTTAATAAAAAGGTATGAGTCTTTGCACCTTAGTACTCGCATCTGTAGCTTTCTTTGCTTGAAATTAACGGCAGGTGGACTGTGTGTTCATTTGTCACTTCAGTTTCATAAAATAATATACCTTCGGCCATCCATCAAACATCCTTAGAAAAGTAGATATAAATCCACTACCCCATACCGCGCTATGGTTATCATAATAATAGACAGAGGGAAATAAACCAGATGGGCAGCAGCGCCTTTATCATAACAACTAAAAAAGAAAAACCTGCGGTTGCCAACCCGCCTGCCAAGCGTCGCAACTATAGCAAATATAAGGCAATCTATAACTAGGCCTATGTTTAACATTGGATTTGTCATAGGCTGGTTGTCCTAAATAAATAAATAAAATAAAAAATCAATCACTTTATTAAGGCTAATAAATAACAATAAAGAGAGCCACAATTGTCACCATAATTAAAATTAATTAAAAAAAAATAAAACTAAATTACAAATCATTCAACAAAATTATCAACTAAAACATGACAACTTCATCACAAAAGCACTTATATTAAAACTAAAACGCTAAAATATAAAACGAATGCTGAATTTTTTGTCCAAATCTTGTTATAATAAAATACGAACAGATAATTATATAAATTTGTGCAAGACCGTGACAACTTTTCATAACCTTATATAATATTTCTAGATTTAATTTTTTACCCAACAGTAAACTAAATGTCACCATAGTTTGAGGAATATCCTCCCTTAAAATGGGGGGAGGGGGCATGTCTTGCAGTGGATTATTATGGACTGGTAATAAAGAAGTTTAAAAGGCTATTATGGACTCGTGAAAAACAAGCATATAAAGGTATTAATATAAGTCTTATGACATACTGGTGGGATCAGTTTTGATAACATTACTAACAGGCAATCATTAAGAAGTATTTCAGTTGTGACTGAGTAATAGGGTGATTGTAGGTTGTTTTATGGTTTGGAAACATAGAAAGACTGAATATGGAAGTGACAAAGTAAATTTATGTTGCAGCAGTGACCGTCAGAGTCGGTAAGGTCGCTCTAAGCAGTTTATCAAACAAATTGGCGATTTATTGAAGATGGGCCAATAATATTCTTAGTATCCTTAACCGACGAGATGGTATGTGTAGAAATATGGTTTTGAAAGAGTGTGAGAATCGTGTCCAATAGAAGTATCTGCCTACGCGTCTGGGTGATAGTTTATATCCGTACATAACATAGGAATCTAGTCATTGATGTCTAGATAAGTATTGTAGTATAATATGAAATGTAGTTCGAAAAATGCATAACAAAAATGGGGTTATAAAATGTTTGAGAAAAGAAATTCTTAATAAATGAGTTGCGTATTATATCACTTAATTGGAATGTTTTAATTTATGACAAGTTTCGACTCATAAACCTAAAAAGAGTGACTTAAAATCATGATGCATTAGATAGTTTAACTGTTAAACCCTACTTACTCTATAGTTTATAATCTAAAATAGAATATCACATGCAAGTTAAAAACGGGTCTAGAAGAAAAATTTCAGCTTCTCACCGCCTATGGTTGAGTCAAAAGCCTTGCTCTTTATAACAGAAGCCGATTGTTTGTCTATAAGTATAGTGAATTTTCCTTTATTAGGATAATCTGGATCGTAGGAAATTTTCCACAATTCAGTGTTCAAACCTGGATTTTTATCTTCTAATAAATCGAGTATAATATTGAAGTCGTCTTTGTCTTCCGGTAAAATATTTGTGGGTATTTTTAAAATCATTCTATAATAGCTTTCATTATTTTTTTCACTTGATAACATCATGTTTATGACACTTTTATGGGACTCTAAATCCCTATCAGGACATTCATCGCAATTTAAATCGAGTTTTTCAGTTTCGGTTTTCACATTGAGAATAATGTTTTTAGATTTCGTAGTATGATGGGATATTTCTTTTTCTGATATGCCTTGACCAATTTCAGTATCAATTGTAGAATTTTCTGTTAGTGTATGCAATTGTTTATTATTTTGTGTATCATTGTATTTTCTTTCCAGATATTCAAGGCTAGATTTCGGTTTTATGAGAGATTGCAAATGACCCAATTTGAATTGCACTGCACTAGAATCAATGTATTCATTAAAGTCTGGACTAGTTATGACTTGTGCCGAGAGTCTGTCAATTTGTAGGACGACATCTAGCTTGCTTTCAGATCGCACAACGCTGATCTTTCTCCAGTATTTCGTGCGTAACCTCGGATTTTGTTTCTGCAAGATTGATATCACTTCATCAGTATCCTTATCAGTATTTACCACCATTCTAACAATGCCAACAGCGCCTCGAAATTCGGTAGATTTGAAATTCATATGCAATTTTGAATTAACCGCAGGAATATGATCTTGAATCGATTTTTTAGATATAATGTCTTTACATATTACAAAAATAACACCGTCGAATAAGTACATGTCATGAATTTTCGGTATAGCGATTTTATCATTTCTAACAGAATCCATAACGACACTAGTCATAGCGTTTTTAAATGTAAAGAATAAATCATCATCCACACGGGTTTCTGGATAATTGGAAGGACCAACATAAAGTTTGAGATCATCTGCTATCAAATTCGAGTAATGTTTAGTTCTAACGCGAGTTAAAGGTGTGCTCATAATATCCGGGTTAATCGGACAATACATTTCTCTGCAGATTTTCTCCCAAAGAGCTTTAGCCTCAAAGTCTTCTACATCTACTAATTTTGTTTCCGTCTCACTACACGTGACGTTTTTTCCTTTTCTATCGATTATTCTAAAACTTATAGCTTCGCCTTTATAAGAAAAATTGAATGTGGAACTTTTAATTATGTCTAAAGATTCTGGATCGACGCCAAATTCCCTTTTCTGTTTACCAGCAACATCCGAGTAGAACTTCCAGTTGTTAAGTTTTAAGCCTGGATATTTCGCGTTCAATTCGGACAAAATCTCTTTTGATTCAAAATGCGCAAGTTCTTTAGGCAAACGCATGACAACTCTGGTGTAACGAAGTAGCTCACTAATGTCTTTAAAAACTAATTTCAATCTTGTAGCTGTAATAAATTTTGGTAAAATCTCAGTTAAATATTCTTTAGTTTCTAAACTATCACAGATATAAACCACGGCTCCATTAGAGAGATACACATCTTGGAACTTGGGAATGATAAGGTTGTTGAAGCGTCGCCTCTTAATGTCTTTGTGTAAGTGTTCCTTAAACAGTCGCTTCAGACTTCTGATGTGTGTACCTTCTAGTTTGTTCTGTGGATATCCGTCTAGAGTGATGGCGATCTTTAGGTCGTTATCCATATGCAAATAGTTCGTACGTCTGTAATAAGCGATGCCTCTGTTAGAATCTATAGTTATAGTACGATTTATCTCCACAAAATCTTCGCTGCTCGCTGTGAGAGAGCCTGTTTTCTCTCTGAACGTAGTTGTTGATGTAGATTGGTCATTATCATAATGAGCGTCTTCATTTTCTTTATCACTGGTATCATCTGTTGTTTTGACAGACAAATCAATCGTTTCATTCTTTTCATTTACATAATCTACGTCGGTAAGTTTCTTAATGGTATCTATTTGAACAGGGTTTTCAAGATCTTTCTTATTATCTAAGACATTTTTTAGTTCTTTAGTCTCTGTCAGTGCATTTATTATTTTATTTTTAATGATATTAATTTCTTTATTTGTTTTAAGATTAGTTTTACTATCATTTCTTGGCGTAACCTCCTCAGATTTTATTTCTTTTAACAATTTAACCCTCGACGCCACACTACTCAGATCATCTTTGAGATCAAAGCTTTCGTAATAGATTTCAGTGTAGCCAGTCAATTCAAATTCCATATTACAGTAGTCTATAACGTTTTTAAAGGTTGGTCCACGAATTATTTCCCCTGACACCCTATCGATTAAAAAGGACGTACACTCAACATCGTCAATAATCTTTTGGGCATAAATTTTCCACTTGTCCGTTTTTAAAGTTGGATTGAAATACTGTAGCAACTTAAACACGTCTAACGCTGTATCAGGCCAACAGGACTGTGGTATCTTCAACATAGCCAGACATATTCTTTTCACTTTCGAATTTAATAAAATCAGTCCCTTATTCATCCTCTCTTCAAGACCATCTGAAACCCTGACTATCCAATCTCTAGTACCCAAATCTTTGCAAATGAAGACTATCGCGCCCCTATTCAGATAGTAGTCGAGGAAAGATGGCACCGTCTTTAACAAACCAGCTTTGATTTGCATATCAATTATATCTGTAAGTGATCTTTGCAACTGTTCCATATGTTTCAGCCGCATCTTCGATTTCGGATAACCAGATAAGGCTACAACTATTTTTAGATGTTCCTCCACTATATCTAAGTAATCAGTATTTCGCAATTGTATCAGACGATTAGTTTCGTCGTGCCCTTCTTCACTGACAAAGTCGCTAAATTTAAAATCATAAAGCGTTTCACTTTCTCTATCACACTCCTTCCTTTCACTACCACTGGTAAAGTCAGATTTCTTGTCGAGTGATGTCAAACCCTTTGATTCTTTACTCGTGAGGTCCACAGTTTTTGTTGCAGCTCTCGATTCTGTAATATTACTTTCTAAGTCCGACTTATCTTGGACCTCCCATGTGCGATTTATTCGACTTCCCTCCCTGCAGAGGACGCAAGTTGACGCGGAGGAGCTATCGTCTCCCGAACTGCCGCTTCTGTCCCAGGATTTACTGCAGGTGCAATGTTTCCCGTTCTGCAGACAAATTTATCTGGTATCGGTATCAGCGCAACTCTCAACTGCTACTTTCTATTCTACTTCTTTTATGAGTCCAAATAGCAATTAAGAAGTATTGATTGTTAATAATATTACTAAAAAGCCTGCTTTTAATCAAGTGGTTTTTTTTTTCAATTTTGGTAACCTTTAAATTTTATTGGTAAGCAGTTTATTGGTTGATTGTTAATATCATTACTGAAAAGTCAACTACTTTTGCGGATTTTATTGCGCTCTTTACTTATTTATAATTCACGTTTTTTTTTTTATTAATTTGGTTAACCTTTAAATTTTATAGGCTAACAGATTATAGATTCATGTGTCTATAATTTCCAAATAGAAGACAATTCTATGATTCAAAACGTCAAATGATAATTATGTTATACGATAATACTATCTTCAATCATATTTTTGTTCGGCAAATAAATTTATAGGCTAGCAGTTTATTGGTTAATGTGTCTATGGCTATTGTCAATGTTCGAATGTTGTATAATTTGCTTATTTTGTCACTTTATTAATTTTGTTTGGAACCTTTCATAATCCATAACACTGTATGTTATCCTCGGTCTAAGACACCTGTCTAGTTTATTTTTAAAACTGTTTACCAAAGGGGACCGTCAAAATCTTTCAGTAATTGTTTGTCATTTTTTATATCTTTTTCTGTACAATGAAACAAAACTTGGAACTGACAAATGAGCATACAGTCCTTATAGTAAGTGTTAATGTGGCCAGCTAGACATCACTTAGATGGAATGCTTTATCAGTAAGTTTTAGGGTTCTTTTTACAACAGTGGTACTTCTTCCCCAGATTAAAAATATAAGTTCAAATTTATATTGTAAGATTTGTTTTGAGAAAATATATACTTCAATTACATTCAATTACTTATTCAGTCTGATCACAATATTTTAATATTTTTTGACACCAGAAATAACATTTAACCACCTGAAAGTAAGTAGATAATGCAACCTGTGAAGACACCTGAAAGCAAATTCAAAGGCTACAGATGCGTTGTCACCTACGAGGACTAAGATGTAATGCCTCACAGTATGTAATTACACTGACACTCTATACCCTGCAGACCGGAACACACGGATGCAGGCGCTATTTGGCGGCAGAAATAGGCCAGATGGTGGAGGAAGTGAGAGAGGTGTGTCAGGATCGTGCCAAATGGAAGTCCATAGAATAGAATAGAATAGAACTGCCTACCCCTCTGGGTGACAGGCGTGAGTGTTTATGTTGTATAAATAGGCCAGAGGATGCTAACTACCCTGACGGACTCCTAAGCAATAAAATAGTCCTATCAAATATTATATGATTAATATATCCCGGTGGAGGTTTGGCGGGACCATGACCGTCGATAGTTTAAAGTGGATGTTGATACGTAAAAAAGTGATGCTTGATGGTTTTTTTTCATGTAAACTATTAGTGTAAACAACGAAACAAGTGCTTCAATGTTAATTCTAAGCCATTGCTTATACCGTGCAGTGGCAGTGTAAGAATATCCACTACCCCATATCATCCCGCGGGTGTCGTAAGAGGTGACAGAGGGAAACAAATCAGGTGATGGGCAGCAGCGTCTTCCTAATAACGACTATAATTAAAAAGAACTGCGGTTGCCAACCCGCTTGCCAAGCATGGCAACTATGGCAAATATCCCCCTATGAGGCAATTTATGGGGGAGACCTTTGTTCTACAGTGGACTTTGATAAACTGTAATGGTTATGGTAAGTCAGTGCTTAGATTACAATCCCACCAGGTGGTAAGTGGTGATGTAGACGATGATAGTAAAGTGCACTGATTTGCCTTAAAAAAGCGTATTCACTCATGCTTTGAAGACTTCCACATTGTAATAACCAATGATGTTGTTTCGCAAGTTATTTTATTAGCTTAGGCACTGTTTAGGCCAAATATGGGCTTTTGAAATTTGAATCGGCGCGTCACCCGATGGTATGTAGGTGACGTAAACGCCGCCGGGGGGGGGGGGGGTGTCGGTGTACCGCTTCCCGGAATTCGGCCGCGTGCGTCGGCAACAGTGACTTGAACGCCGCGGTTTTGTCGACTGGTATGAAATGAGGTCGTTACGCGACGGTCGGCGCGTGCCTCCTACGGTGCTATCTTAATTTGTTATTTTTTGTGATAACGAGGCGGGTCTTAAAGTATGGAAAAGATTTTGTCGCGCGTCAGCCGGTTAATTGCTTTTTGGAAGTTAATATTGAATTGTAACGTCGCGTTGAGTGCCTTTTTTGAAGTTGTCTAATCTCGTGCATTTTTGCGTGACAACAAGGCGGATCTCCTATAATTTTGTTGTAACCGTTTTGGGTATTGTTTGCAACCGTTAGTAGGTTGCGCGCGTGTCACTTGTTTTAATTTCTATTAACGTTGATTTGGTTGAATTTGAAGTTAATTAAATGTACAATAAAGTTGATAAACTAATATAGTGAAAATAGAAGCAGAGGTTTTCAATTGGTGGATCTCACATTTGGAGAGAAGCAGCGCCTGTGGATCTGCAGTCCGACAGCGGGGATGTCAGGTTACACATTGTACACACTACTTACATGCACATCACTTATCACCTGACAGGTACCTTGCGGTCAACCCTAACTCCGGAAATCGGTAAGTGGTGCTTGCTTATTTGTTAGCCGTTTTTGGAACCGTTATCCATAGGCCATTGGGCCCGAACCCTCGGCTGCTCGTCTAGGAGGATACTATGGGCCCTAGCCAATGCGACCTTTGCCGGGGCAGCTGGGGGCCGTAACAGGCACATTAAAAATATGAATTACTGCAGTCATCGACTGTCCGCTGCGCTGGGTTGAGCAGTCGTCAAAACCTTCCAAAAGCTTCGCAATGTAACGCATTAGCTTATTGTGAAGTTATGAAATATAAAAATATTATTCTTATTACAGGAAACTGGCAAAAGTATAACCGTATGACCGTCCATGTCCAAAGAAAAATAAACATATCCCGACATATTTAATTTAATGTGATAACCGTATACTAATATAAACTTCAAAATTAACGAGTTAGTATTGAATACGCTAGTTTAAATGCTTTCGTGTAATTTTTCCTTGTAAAAGTGTTTGGGAAAACTGTACCCGTTTACCGTACGTATTTGTGATGGCAGTGTAAGATTTAATAGTTTCTTTTCATATTTTAGGAATCATATTTTTATCAGTATTAAAACTAAATAATGGAATTATAGTCATAAATGGTACTAATATAATAAATGTGAAAGTTTATTTGTATGTTTGTGTCTCAATTACTAAAAAACTATTTAATGGATTTTGATGAAACTTGGCATTATTACAGATAACAAACCGGAATACGACATAGGTTATATTTTAGTTAAAAAATTTAGTCTATCCCAAATCAGACTTTAACGAAAAATTGGTCGGTCTATCTACGTAATATGCACCTTATAATTTGCAAAAATCTTGTAGGTTATACAGGTAAATTAATCGAATTAAAAATAAATCCATGCAATTCTTATAATTTAATTTCCATTGCAATTCACTGACGAATTTACAAGTTGTAAAATTATATTTCAATCACAAACTATGTAATGTCGCGTAGTGGCAGCGATAGAAAATGCATCACCCCGTTTCCTCCCTTGGGTGTCGATAAGAGACGTCTATAGAAGATGCTAGAAGAAAATCTCATTAACGCCAGACGTAAAAGATCAGATCGGCAACGGACAGCAGCGTCAAAGATGCTCGCGTATGGTGCTGCGATCCTCAATACCAGTGGCATTACAAAAAAGCCCACCAAATGTGGCGTTTAAGGCAAATACTCTCAATAGCGGGGAAAAATATTTCCAGTAGTAGACATTTAATGGCTACCACCTACCTATGTATCACTTATCTGATACAGCTGGTGGTACATTAAAATGGTTTCACTAAATGGATCCAACCACAATATATCTAAACCAGATAACCAATTACTGTCTTTACACAAAAATTGACTCTCTTAGTTCGAGCCCAGAAACCATGAACCAGCAGTCAGGTACTACTCGTATAATATTTTCCTTTAAACCGACTATTGGTCACAGCGGCCAGTCTCAACAGAGACTTGCCATCTGCGTAGGACACGATTATAGAGCAAAAATGTGTGTGCTTTCACAGGCACTTTCCATTCTCTCACTCTTATAGTCTGGGATGGTAATCGGACATGACCGAAGAAAGATGTACATGCTATCAGAGGCACGTGGGGTAAAAACTGCTACTGAGAATTTGGTAGAAAACACAAATAACAGATTTTGGCCAAATCCGGGATCGAACATGAACGTGACCATACTATCAGCAGTTGTGCTTATGACCACTATACCAACGAGGCAGTCAACTATAACATTTAAACATGAGGTTATCTACATAGTATAAAAGTAATCTTACCGAGTCTCCACTGCCGATTCCAAAGCCATCTGTCTCAGGTGCCTCGCTCACCCTGCGAATTAAAATATGTAATTTTTTTATAATGTTAGTACAAGGGATGTGGATGTAGATTTCTTTACATCTCAAGTTTTTATAAGATATACTTAGTTTAACATGAATAAATTGAAGAGATGGTAATATTTTTTAAATTATTTATTAATAAATTTTTAAGTATGAAAATTTAAAAATTGATGCATTGTAGCGAAAGTACCATACACGCGCACGAAACGTACCACTTGCTGTCCCCCGTCCAATTTCATGTCGCAACTTGTACTCCGCATCCGCAAAAACTATCATTGCATATGCAGAGCATCAATGTATATTTTGGGAAAATTTAAGTAACTCTGAAATATGAGCATAATTTAACGAGCACACACCGAAACAGTTCACCTGATGGTAAGTGGATACTGTTGACCATAGACATCTACATATACCCTTGATTGAGAATCAATATGCAGATGCGTTGTCACTCAACCCTGAAGACTAAGATGGAATACCTGGTTTCCAGTACAAAGGGTCTCAGGTTCCTTACACTCACCACGCAGCATTGAATCTTGGTTTTAAAAATTGAGATTCAATATAAATAAAATGAGAACAACATCAAAATAGTTTGAAGTCAATTACATACTCATTGTTAAGGATAAAACCACTGGTAAGATCTTGATCAAATTTATATGGGACCACATGAGAAGCACCAGCTTGCAAATATAAAAAGAATCATCAAAATCGGTTCACCTAGAAAAAAGTTCTGAGGTAACACTTAAAAAAATACAGTCGAATTGAGTACCTTCTCCTTTTTTGAAGTCGGATAACAAATAAAGAATATTTAATTGTTTTAATAGCGACTTTATATTATTACGACTCACCATGACACTAATTTTCCCAAGAGCAATCTTAGACAAAAAAAAAACAATAATTTATAGTACTCTGTAAATATTTTTTTCTTTATCAACTTCAGAGTTCTCGGCTAGAAATGTCCTCCCCTATTATAAGAAAGATTCGTCTTATTCATTACGCTTGGCGGATTGACGATCACAGTACAAGATGAGACAACCTTGATGCTGCTGCCCGTTGTCGGTCCAGTTATTTTAGCATGTATATAGATATTATACCATCTATCACAGGGATTCCCAAACTATTTTGGGCAAAAATAGACCCCCTATCCAAAATGAACTGATACCTCAGACCCTCACAGGCAAATTACTTTAAAAATCCTATCCCTAGTATTTTTTTCTATTGATACAAAATACTTACCAATTTAAAATCAAAATTTAACAAAATAAATAAAACAAAATTCAGTTAACATCAAGTGTAATTAATAATTACTTATTTTTTTTTAAATACTAGTAATGCTATTAAACATTACTAATATTGCCTTTAACCACTTCTGGTAAGCTTAAAATGCTTGTGTTAGAAGTGGTATTCGACAGTAGTCGAACGGCAGATTCAAACCCTCGACCTTTCGAGTTCGCGGTTACAATGCCTGCCAATACAAACTACGTAAAAATACTTTAAAAGTACAACAATGATACTTATTACCAAAATATTAGTCATTCTTATAACAAGTTGGTACATTATCTTGAAAGTTTCAAATAAGAATTTGTGTTATTTAATAGGTGTCGAATTTTAGACTTCGTCGACGCCCAAAATCAGTTTTTATTTATGTCGACCCCTGGGAAACCGATTTCGACCCCAAAGGGGGTTCACCTGATCTATCAGAAGCGGGACCTTTATCACATTACCCATGGTCGTTTAACGTCACACCTCTAGGATGTAAAGGGTTAATGGTTTCTCTCCCAATAACAGGAGAGACCTAGGTACAGCAGTGGACTATGAAGGGCTGAGGAAATGGAAGAAATTTAAAATTATGCACACTTTCTATATAAATATCAAGAGACAATTCTTACCTGTCATTAATATTCTTTACGACGATCCTCCCATCAGGTAGAATGCATCGGTTCGAGCTGCCCTGTGCAATCTGTCAATCATAAAATATAATATTGTAAGACTGGACTTAATTGAAAAAGAGAAATGTTTAGCATGAGATATATTATATCTCATAAGTGGACACAAGTCTTTACTATTTTTTTAATATAATAAGAATGACACACAAGCACACAGTCCACCTGATGGTAAGTGAATACTGTAGCACACAGACATCTACGCTTATCATCAACTAGAAATCAATATACAGATGATTGTCACCCCTACTACCGAACTAAGATATAAATGCTTAGCATAAGAAACTATAGACTGTAAAGATTATGAATCAGAATGCAGGTAAGTTGCCATCACTGAGAACTAAGAATGCCTGAAATTATAATGTTAGCAGTATAAAGGGTCTTCTCATAATGTAACCAATATGGGTATTGGACGACTTCACATGTTCTCAATATACTCTTTATAGAAAAGTGACAAATGAGCACATAGTCTACCTGATAGCACAGAACAAATAATAAGCACTACATATATAAGTTGCACTTCTTTGATGTTAACTAGTGCCGACGTTTTAATAGCCTACATAATTGGACGTGGTTATGCAAAAAGGATCCAACCTAAAGAAGAAAGCTAATTTGAGGTTATGAAATTTGAAGAATGGATATGTATGGCTTGTGTGTGTGTTTGTAATTTTTCTTCTTATTTGTGTTACTTTCGCTAAAATTATTGCATCACATAATAGTATTATACCACATAGTAGACCACAAACATTATTTTTCAACTGAACATTTTGACACAAATTACATTGGATCCTTTTTGCGTAACTATGTCCAATTATTATTAATTAGATACATTATTCACTTAAGCTGAATTAAATCTTATCGCTACGCGTGCGCGCTAGTGTCCGTATGGCTTTGCATCTTTTTCTCTTCCTACGTCACGAACGATATTTCATGGTTACCCAGGGCTTTCAACAAATAGTAAAAAATACAGTACATAGTGTAGTGTTTGCATATATATAAAAGTCGCTGTCTCGAGCGCACCGCGTCAGTTACACGAGAGCCTCGGGCGAGAGTGGACGTGTTTAGTTAAGTGCGTGCCGAGCCTGTGTTACACTACAGTGATTAGAGAAGATAGCAGACAATACACATAGGCTGCACAAAAAGTATCGGGAATGGAATATTTCCACTGTTCTTGTCATATTAAAATATTTTAAATTGAAAACTCCTTTATTTATTTAAAAAAAGATTCTCGGTCTTGTCACAAGGTTTTGTCAAACTTGTTTAGTCGTTGAGAAAATGGAATTGACTGGAGAAAATTCAAGAGCAATAATTTATTATGACTTTCTAAGTGGTTTAACACAAAAACAGTGTGTTGACCGGATGATTTCTGCATTTTTGTGATGAAGCCCCATCCAAAACCACAATTTATCGCTGGTTTGCTGAATTTCAACGTAGACGTGTCAAGCTCAGTGATGATCCCCGTCAAGGTCGTCCAAAAACTGCAGTCACCCAAGAAAACGTTGATGCTGTGCGTAAGCTGATTGAGGAAGATCGACATGTGACATACCGCGAAATTCAGGCAACTTTAGACATTGGCATGAGTCAAATACAAATAATCTTGCATGAACAATTAGGGGTAAAAAAGTTGTTTTCCCGATGGATACCGCATTCGCTCTGTGAAGAGCAAAAAGCGGCTCGCGTTACTTAAAGCGTCAGAACTCTCGAAAGATTCCACGCAGCATTCTCAAATGCTGTATACAACATCGTATCAAGTGACGAATCCTGGATATACGCGTAGGAACCCGAAACAAAAAACCAGTCACGAGTTTGGGTGTTCGAAAATGAGTTAAAGCGAACAAAAATTGTTCATTCACGGAGTGTTGCAAAAAAAATGGTGGCCACGTTTGTCTCCAAAACCGGCCATGTTACGACTATTCCTCTTGAGGGACAAAGAACGGTTAATGCAGAATGGTAATGCTAGCATTTGTTTGCCACAGGTCGTTTCTGAACTCCGTAAAGAGAACTGCAACCGCCGCATCATCCTCCATCACGACAATGCGAGTTCTCACACCGCACACAGAACAAAAGAGTTTTTAGAGCAAGAAAACATAGAATTATTAGACTTGATTATTTCTATACTTTCCCTAAAATAAAAAATAAATTGCGTGAACAGAGATTGTCATCACCTGAAGAAGCTGTGGACGCCTACAAAACTGCCCCCAACTTCCGAATGGAATGGTTGCTTCAATGATTGGTTCCATAGTATGGAAAAATGTGTCAAATTTCGCGAAGAATACTTCGAAAAGCAATAAATACATTTTTAAATAGTAATGTTGTGTCACTTCCTTGAATCTCGAAATTTTCAGTGCCGCCCTCGTATGTATTGTACCTTTTGATTATTTATTTAATTTACAACTGTTTTATTTTAATATAAAGTCCTTTTTTTTAACGTCACTAAAATAACTGCTATTGAATTTATGCTATTTATGCGGAGAAAACTCTCAATCTGATGTATATTTTTAAGTAAATACTGGGGGAACATTGACACGGAGTGATAAAATTAATATTTGTTAATAATTTTAGTAAATTATTTGCTGGGCTTTTCATTATTATGTTTTCAAAATTGTTAATGATTGTATTTTCAATAATAAACATACAAATATACATATTAATTACACTAAAACTTATACAACTATTTAATCTTATAACTAAATATACAAAACAATAAACAAAAATATTTATACAAGTGCATACAAATAATCTATTTACGTAAACAGTGTTAAAAACACTTTGGAATTCACTAGTACACTGCTCGCCTAAAATGCGCTAGCCCTGTCCGCGTATGTAACCCGAGGTTCTGCGCAATTGTAGGTATTTATATCACGCAGGTAGCAAGAGTGACAGAGGCCTGCTGATAGTGAATAGATGCTGCGGCCTAGTGGACACCTCTATTTATCCTCAATTAAGAATCAAATTGCAGAAACGTAAACACCCTCAAGGACTAAAATGGAACGCCGTCTCATTACCAGTAAAAGGGGACTCCAGTTGTTGTTTTTAATTGACAAACATATATCCTCTCTATGTTTCACCGCCGAGCTAATGGTAGCAGTAGTTTGCTCGTGCATTCTTTTAAATGTACAACAATGCCTTTTAACATTTTGATTCTTAACCGAGGATAGATCCATGTGTCACATAGCATCAGGTGTACAGTGTGCCTTTTCTTCACCTGTTTCTGTAAAAGAAGATAATAACTTCCAACTGTGTTGCCATGGTAAAACTGAGCAAAGTTAATAGCCATCACATAAGGTCAGAATGTTTGTATATCAAAGAAACTCACAATCAAAGAAAAATAAAATTACCGGTTTCTTTCCAGCCTGATTGAGTATTATCATTCTCTGTCTACACTGCAGCTGCTCTTCCTTCAGCTTCAGTTGTTCTATTCTTAGCTGGACCAATTCTTTGTGCAGTTCCGGGTCCAGGCTGTCTGTTAGACCCTAGAATATAGATTGATTGAAACTTTTAGAGGTAACTGAAAAACTCAACATGATTTTAAGAAGTTATCAGAAAGCTGGTAGCTTCCAAGGCTAAGTACGTACCGTAATTACACAGAATGTGAACAACCCAGGGATAAATCCTGGCACTAATGAATTTTTTTATTACAATAATTTAAAGTGCTGATTTACTAAGTGCTCAACAGTGAAAAAACACATGTAGTGTAGTGTAGCCCCCACGACAATGTATATTAGTGTTAAAGTAGAATAGGTTTAGAGTAGTATAATATTATTCTAATGTACAATTAAAGTTATAGACAGATCAACACGTCTCTTTTTATTACACCTTCCAACATTACACACATTATCATCAAAAAGTTATAAAGTTACAGCTTATTTAAGTCCTACTACTGAGGAAGGTGTTTGGGTGAAGGGGGTTTTAGTCATTAGTGCAAAGAAATGTCCGCCGCGCTGCCTCAATGCGTGTTGGCGAACTTCACATGTCTGTGAATTTTCTTTTCTTATTTCTCAGACATGCAGGTTTTCACATAATGTTTTCCTTTACCGCCGAGCACGTAGTAAATCAGCACTTGAAATGGCAATTAATAATTTCATTGGTGCCGGCAGGGTTCGAACCCAAGTTACTCGCGTATTATGTACACTTGAGCTACCACAGCTCAGACCGTGACACAGACGGACCTTGCGTGTCTGAACATAATATATTTCGAGCATATGCAATGTGAAAGACGCCAACACGCACTGAAGCAGCACCACAGACTTATTCCTTAAAAAACTCTAGAGGAATCACGTGCCCAGCAGTGGGTTGCATATAGCCTGATATTTTATCTTATATCAGATATTACTATAAAAGTTTTCTCTCTCTTCATTCTCTTTATCTTAGCTATCAGATCACATAAGACATAAACAAAAACAGATTTAAAAAACTCACCAAATCATCATCAATCACCAAATCCTCCATTTCTCCCTCTCCGTTGAGTGTGTCCTCCTGTTTCCTGAAAATAAAAAGGTATAATATTCAAAATATAACCTCTAAAATATTAGCAGTCTACAATATATCCTAAGAGGACCTGTGATGCAGTGCACCACAGTAGTCATGCTTTGATTACTAAAACATAAGGTTGGCAATGTAAGTATTGTCACTACTGCTAGTATATAGACATGTTGTGTCAATTGTGAATGAATCGACCCATTAGATTAGAAAGGTCGCATCAAAATTTTGATGATTGCAATAAAAAATTTTTGAATGTTCCAGATCAAATGATTGACAGGACCAACGACCAAAGAGTATAGTTATGTCCGATAACCGACATTATCAAGCAAGTCTCACAGCACAGAGTACTGAAACTTGAAATGATACATTTGAATAATCGACCCATTCACTAAAAATGAATGAATGACACATATCTATTGCTATAATACACTTTAGAAAAAACTTTTTTTAATGGCTATGCTATGCTGACACACTCAAATTGAACAATAACATGTAGTTTCTCTTAATGCAAATTGAATGAGAAATGGACAAGAATCTTCTAACTTTATTTGTCATTTAAGATTTTTAGTGCTGGATGTTACTGATTAATAAAACTAATGCCTCCTTCTGATGGGAGATCGTCAAAGGGTGGTCATGACTCACAGGAAAGGGCCTTCCTGTCCTGTGAGTCATGAACATTTCAATTATTTAACTACTAAATATAGAAGTAGGGACAAAGAAACACTTTATTTCGACACAAATCATTGACAAATATTTATATAAAATTGATATAAATATAAAAAACAACTTTGTATGTCAAAAATGCGGTGTAAGTCATGCCAAAAAATGTCATTACCCTGCTGAAGTTGCAGTAAATCACAATGCTGATTTTTATTAATGACCAAATCCTTGGAGAACACAGTTCCAACACTAATAAAAATAAAAAATAAAATACGAAAAAAGAATTTAAGCATTCTTCACTAACTAAACTGTATCCACCAAGCCAGGAATGTGTGGCCATTGGACATGAACACACTTGCCTCCTAATTGAAATAAAAAAATAAAATAAAAAAAAGAATCTTGATTTTAAAATTAATTGTGTAAAAGTGGTAAAATTAAAAATGTTGTACAACCAACTCCAATATAAATAAAATGAGAACATTATCAATGTAGTCGAAGTCAATTAAGTATGCATTATTAACTATAACTCAAAAACTACTCAGGGTCAGATCTTGATCAAATTTATATGGGACCACATCAGAAGCAACAGCTTTCAAATAAAAAGTTCACCTAGAAAGAAGTTCTGAAGTAACACATTAAAAATAATACAATAGAATTGCGAACCTCCTCCTTTTTTGAAGACTGTTAAAAATAAAATAAATCAAAGAACAGGAAAAACGTGAAAAAGAATTGCAACAAAATACAAACTTATGTCTACAATTTTTCCTTCCTTTTATACAGTACTGTGTTATGGCAGTGTAAGAACATCCACTACCCAATATTGTCCCATGAGTGTTGTAAGAGACAACATAAGAGAAAACTGAAACAGGAGATGGGCAACAGCCCCGGATCTGCGATTTCTTTGAACCGGGGCAAAAACTTGAATAACTATGAAAGACATGCCCGGGTTTGCCCCCCTCCCCCTACCCCTAGATTCGGTGCTGATGGGCAGCAGCATCTTCCTGATAACAACTCAATATTATTAAAAAAAAAACTGTAGTTGCAAACCTGCCTACAAAGCATGAAAACTATGGAAAAAGTCACACAATGAGGCATTCTAAGGTTAAGCGTCCACTAGGCTCGCCGAGCAGAGTCGAATCGAATCGCAGAAAGTCGTCTCCTATATATTTACTATGAAACTGCATCCATTAGCAACGAGTCACGGCGCGCCGAATTGAATCGACCGCGCGAATTGCTTGACAGGCGAATTTCTTCGCCGGTGGGATTCGATTCAACTCTGCGCGCCTCAGTCGACGCGGAGAAGTGGATGCGCGCCAGCGTATTTTAATTAATTTCTATTTCGTTGTCGCAAAAATCTTTTTGTTTAAATAAAAATGAATGAAGAACTATTGATATCACTGGTCCAACAATATCCAGAATTGTTTAATCGTGAAGATCCACATTATCCACATTATCACGATGAAATAAAAACATCTCTTCATCCGAGCTGTCCATGACGCAAAAACAACCTATTTTGATGAAGAATTTGCAATGAATGAACAATTCGATTCTATTCGTCAGAGATGGACGCACTAGGAATAAATGCGACTCTCTTCGATTCGACGCATTTCTGCTGTAGTCAACGCCAGGCTTAAGGTGGAAGCCCATACAATTCAGCAGTTTGATTTTTATAGTCTGTAATAGTCTATAATTTTTCCTTTGTTTCAAAGAACTACTAACTCGTCTATTTTGCAGATAGACAAACAAATGTAATGTTGATTGAAGCATTAGAAATATTTTTGATGCTGGTTCTCATTACCATGCTTGGTGGGATAGTTACACCACCACCACCTATTGAAGTTTGTGAAATCTTTCTAGCATTTTCCAAAACTGGCTATTAAATTCACTTATGCGACAAAATGGTGTGATGGGACTCTCTTATGCTGCTATTATATTATACTAAATATCTATACAAATAAATAAAATTGAAGTGTCTGTTTGTAATGTCAAAATAACAATGGTTGTTCTAGGTAATCTCCGAAATGGCTAAACAGATTTGGACGGAACTTTCACTGGCAGATAGCTGATGTTATAAGAAGTAAATTAGGCTTTTATTTTAGAAAAAGAATTATTGTTCCACGCAAAAAATTAAAACATGAAATCCAATCGTAATAAATTACACACGGGCGAAGTCACAGGTCACAGTTAGTATACTATATAATGGAAATGTAAGCTGTGTAAAATGTTCTCAAAGAAACTTTATATATATTAAATGAAATTCTAGAAATAACATAAAACACAATGGATACCATTCATCCATTACAGCTTATAAAAGTTCACTGAACATAAGCATCCTATACAGTTGCCTCATAGAATGCACCTACTGCTGGGCATAGGCTACCCTCAATTGTAAGAGGGTTATGTAGCAATGAGTCCCTGCTGCTCCAGTGCTCGCTAGCATATCTATCCTCGATTAAGAATCAAAATACGTATGTGTAGTCACCCCTGAGGACTAAAATGGAATGCCAGCTTACTAGTAAAAAGGATCTCTGTATTTCTACACTCATCATATGAAACACAACAGCATTAAGCCACTATTTCACACTGGTATTCTGTGAGTGTCGTCCTTTCACAATCGTGCTGACCCTTTTGTGCTACAACCATAATAAAGCTGCAGCGTGGCTTTACCACATATAAAACTTCTTCTCATGTCCTTGAAATATTTTACTCCTCGGTCGTACAGATTTCCTAATGTAAGCCATAAATGTAACAGTTTAAAGAAAAGGTTTGCCTGTACAAAGGATTGATTTCCGGATGCCTGTGATCAAAAAATTGCAGAGGACTATGTGCACATATGGACACCTCTCAGGTAGACTGTAGCATGTATAGCCAGCATTACAGTTTCTTTTACCACTAAGTATGCAGAAGTTGTTCATGAAGGTGAAATTATGGCAAGCGCTTACTTACATCTGGAATATAGCTCAGATGTAAAATATTCAGACTGGCAATGTGATTAGAAGCCGCTACAGTAATTTGTTAGAAGCTCATAAGGATGAGGAAGTAATATTTGTTAACTTGGGCATGGCTTATATCTCTTTAGGTTGGAGCTACTGTATTTTTTTTTTTAATAAGATATGGGTTATAAACGACCACACAGTCCACCTGATGGCAAGTGGCTGCTGTGGCCTATAGGCATCTACATCTATCCACGATGACAAATTAAAATGCATATGTGTTGTCGTCTGTGAGGACTAAGATGCAAATCCTCATTTCCAGTAAAAAGGGTCTCCGGTTCTCTACACTCACCATACAAAACACAGCAGCGTTAAACTGCCATTTTACACTGGTATCCTGTGTGGTCCTTCCCCGGTCAAGCCGACCCATTCTTTGCAACAACTGTACCAGTAATATTGCTGCAGCATAGCCCTATCATGTAAAAAAAATATTATTGTAATAATAATTAAATACCATGTACAAACAATAATGTATATCTAGTAGTGAATTCAATTAATAGAAAAATCAAATTCTATAAAAATTAAACAATTGTAAGTCTCTTGATATCATAAATCACAATTATACTGCCAATGTCTTTTACATCTTGTCTGAAGGTTTCTTGGTAAGAAATGGACCGTTTTTATTTCATAAATCATAAGATTTTAACATATAAAAATTTACTGGTAAAACTTATATTGCCATTACAGCCTGTTAAAGTTCACTGAACATAGACCTCCCCTGTTGCCTCATAGGGGGATATTTGCCATAGTTGCCACGCTTGGCACGCGGGTTAGCAAACACTGATTTTTTTTGTCATTATTAGAAAGACGCTGTTGCCCAATTCCTGATTTGTTCCCCTCTGTCGCTTCTTACGACATCCACGGGATGACTTATATTACATCGTAATAATATTATGAAGAACGATGAACCGTTTATAATTTACAACCCATTTTTTTTAGAAAATAAATCAAATAATTTACGACTACCGACTTAAAAACTTAATCGTAACTTCTCCCTATATATTTATAAAAGAAGATTACTACAGCACAAGAATCGAAACATTTCAAGAAACACAACATATTTAATGAAACTTACGCTTCACCGACTTTTTTCTCCATGGAAGAGAAATACTTATTTAGAAGCATAACTCCGATTTTCGCACTTATTGGACGAACTTAATAATTTTAAACTTCGCAGATTTAAAAGTTATATTTGGTAATACTAAATTTTTTCCAACGTATTATACTTTGCTTTTATGTAAGAAAAACAAAGTTTCAATTTCAAATTTCAATTCAAAGTTCAAACCAAACTCGTGCTAATGTGCGTGTCGCCCGCTTCGAATAAATAATAGTTAATAGTGTCGTGCAA